ACGTTGTACACTTCACAGGAAGAAATCTGGTTCTCACAGGCATCTCCGTGGTTTCCCCCAAAAACCCCGAGTAGTGTCTGGCCTGCGTCACCTGCCCTAACGACTGCGGCAGCATGCCACTTGCGTCCAACGGTAAGAGGAGCCCGTCTAAGCCAGCGACGTTCTCTCACCGAGAACTCTTCGACGCACGTTGAGTAAGTCTGTTGGGCAGTACTGCCTCCAACAACGAAAATGTTCTCTTCCATCGAAAAAAGGAAAAAAAACAACATATAATGAACAGTGCATGCAATTTTTAAATAAAAGTAGTCACGATTAAACAACAGAAATGCTTCCTCTCTTGGAGGCAAAAAATGCATAAAGTGGCTTTGAAAGAAGCAGTACTTGACACGCAATTGAAAAACATTGCGTAGTATAGTTTACTTATGTTTTCTCGTCAAACAACAAACAGCCTGAATGGAGATACATTAAGAAGACGAGCCCGCAACAATTAAACAAAAACGAGCGGGACAATGTCTGACTGAGTTCTCATTGACAAAGACCTTAAAGGCGCAAATTATAGCACGCTAATCTATGCTTATACAACCGTATCCATTGTGTAGTGACACGAATAACGAGTGAAGGATGCGCTATGGTGTTGCAAAAATGCACAAATTCTTTCGATTTAAGGAAGACAAAAGCATGTTGCACGCTTATGTAACATACCTTCGACGACACTGTAAGAAGCGAAGGTACGCTGTTCCATGTCGGCAATGCGTTCTCCTTTGTGCATTTCCGAATCGAAAAACAGGACAGACCAGCTGTTGCGATCATGATCTATTCCGAAGAGCACAAGTGCTTCTGAAGGTGGTCGCATTTGTGCGATTTGCTGTATTTCATGCGTTCGATTTTGGGGGTTGAAGGGACATGGTGGCTTGTCGTCATTTGGAGCGGCAATCCACTGCTCAACATAATCTAAAAGCTGACTTTCATAAAATGAAAAACCAGTAAGAATAGCATATACTTACGCGCAGCCGAAGCTATTCTGAATCATGACATGGTTCTGCACTATGTGGCTTCGAAATTGGCGAGTCGTTTGGTGCCAGCGCACCTCCCTAAGCAGAGTAGGTGCGTGCAATTTCAGCCTTTCATTAAGGTCCTCTTTACCAGAGCTAACCCAGCATGCGATAGCTGAAAAAACGTTCTCCTCAGAGTCAACACCCAAATGTTTGTCTTGAAGCAATGTCAGCATCGTATTCGCTGGAAGTCGCACAAAAAGGTCACTGGAGATGAAATTGTTGAATTGTGTTTTCATCAGATGCATGCACTTCTGCTCTAGTGATACGATGTTGAGAGATTTGGCAAAATCCCATACAGTTGTCAGATTATCTAAGGTGACACTATAGAGCAAATAGTAAGACGCGTATAATTCGGGGAATAGATACCTGCTGGTCATGAAACGCACACCCCAATTCTCCAGGTCAGCCAATTTCATCATTTTTGCGAGCCCAACTATTCCCCTCGCGTTGGTTTGTGTGATCTCCACTCTCCCAGTGTAGACGTAATTAAAGAATGCCGAAGCGATGTTTACATGTGTAAAGTCATTAAGCACGATAATGGGAATGTTACCTTCGAGGCACAAATGGCCACTTGAGGACCGAATTCCCCTCAGCGAGGGAACCACGGAGAGTCTTACGCAAATAAGGTACGCGAGCTGCTACTATTATTCGGTGAACGTACAGCAGATCACCGTCTTTTAACTGATAGGCATGTTGAAAGAAAAACAGGAAGGGACGTTACCTCTATGGTAAGTTCTTTAATCTCGTCAGCAAGCCGAATCTCATTGATTGCTGGACAGCTTCGAGTCAGTGGCACTTCATCCTCAAATAATTGTCCATGGACCGCGAGCGACATTTAGAGTGATGACCGACGTAGGAGCGCCAAATATCCGTCATCGCTAGGACGGCTGCCTTAATAGTGCCACCATGATTGAAATCTGCGCGCATGCAAGCATTGATTATGTCTGATTTCTGATTGGTCGACTGCAGTTCGTGATGTACTCGATTAGACGGTTATTGGCAAATATGCGGAGGCATATTTCCCGTAGCGCTTGTAAGTCCATGCATATGTGTTCACCCCTCCTCCCCCCCCCAGCACGATATTAATATTAAATCTATCCTGTTGCCATGTGGAAATATCCGCGCTCGATCAATCACTAGTTCCTTCATGTTAATCAGATGATGCAGGGTTCGGTACGCGGGATATCTGTAAAATGTTTAGACACTGATTTTGTAGGAGGCTTTACAAATAGGTCTTTCTTGATAGTCCAAAACCCAGTAATATCGTCTTATGACATTCCTTTTTAAAGATCCCGATATTTTCTGTTTTTTAGATTAGCTGGATACCCGTTAGATCTTTTTTCATGTGAAATCCCCGAAAAAGTACTTTTCTTACGCTTTCTGTTCCACCCAAGCAACTTAAATAAGGGTCTTCAAAATGGTTCCAAGTATCTTATGTCTGGCACCAATATTTGGCGAACCATAAATAGAAATAGAAGCATACCTAATGCACTGTATGCTTCTTTGATTTTTGGTTTAGCATTTGCTTTCTTTTTGGCTTATTATAAATATTTATAAGTTTAATTAATCTTTGATTAAGTTAGTTCAGTTTATCTTAGTTTACCTTTATTTAGTTAGTTTACTTAGGTTTTAGATTACTTAGATTTAAATTTATTTTTTGATGTGTTAGCCGCATGCGGTTGCGTTTTCTGCTCTAACTAGTTTTCGTTACCCTAGATTGATAAGCAGGGTTTGATTCATATATTTATGTGTTGATTTACTTTTTAAATTATTAATTTAGCTCATTATCATGTTTTGTTAGTTTTTTTAATTAACAATAGTTTTAAGTTCAACTAGTTTAGCTTATTTTCGTTGACGTTTCTTAAACCAGGCTACTGAAGTTTATGTTTATTGTGTAGTTTAGTTTCAGATGTGTTAGTGAAATGCCGTTTTATATTATCTGTTTACCGTACTTTACTTTAGTCTCCAAAATGGGTATGTATTTGCGTTATTTCAAAAGATTTGAGCAGTTCGTGATATTGCTGTGTTTGCACGCTTTATTTATGGCGCGATTTTTCGTTACCAAAAATCAGTTTATTTAAATAATTACCGTCGTCTTTTACTTTTTTGCAATGTACGATTTGGTTAAATTTGCCTTCACCTGTAATGCCCAAACTGTACAACCTTTATCACCACCGGTTCCGTATTACGCGAGGATGGGTTTTGGCTCTTTGTTTGGGAACCTTACTTTTACCTTCGCATACGAACGGGCAGAAGATAAGCAATTTTGCCCCAATATGTTCTATAAGTATTTCTTCAAATTGTTTACTTTCAATTATATATTTACACAATAAAATGAATAAATATGGCGGCAAAATCTCCGCATTGTAGAAAAAAGCGATGTATTACGTTTGCAGCAAATGATTATCGCTTATTTACACGAAGTTCAAGAAAATCGATCATAATTCCACATCGTACCATGACGTACCCTTAAAAATTTAAAGTACGCAGGCAGAATTTAACGAAATGTCTACTAAAACGTTTTTTGAGCTGTTATAATAATAATTTGTATATT